ATGAAAAGTCCTTTGGCCCAACCAATGTAACAACATAAACCACCTCCAAAAACTGATTCAAACGTAAAATACTAAAAGACTTTACAAGTTATCCGACAAAGAAATTGTCAACATTGGAGTAATTTTCTGGTTATCCCAAGCGTGACATTGACCACCCAGTAAGACGGATTAGTTTTCCATTCCAAGTCAACTGCAAGTGTCCATTCCATTGGTATGGATTTGGGAGGAAATTTGGTGTCCTTCCAACCCTTAAGATGGCATCCAAAGGGAAAGTTAAAAGTGACAACAGATCTGGTGCAAAGCTAGAGTGTCTCACGTGCCTTCTTTTGTAAATGCATGACGTGCTATTTATTTTTTTTTCCCCCACTTTTTTTTTTTACTTTACTTTGCTAATACTTTCGTGACCGCAATAATTAAGGAAAAGTGCATTTCGTGCTCGCGGTCACAACCGCAATGAGGTTATTTAGCCTGCACCATCTTTTGCTATCCCCTCTTCCGTCCTCCTCTCACCCCTCACCCCCCACCCACCCCCTTGTGCCCTACCTTTCCCCAAACTAACCCAAATATTGCAACATTCTGTTGGCGCCCTCTCACTGCTAGCAGTTGGTAGAGGTGGCCTACAATTGACGAGTGAAAGGCGATTGATGGAAGGGGAGCATTGTAAGATCTTTGTGAAAATGGAAACCTTGGAAGTACCATTAATGACAAACTCATGGTGCATAAAATGAGAGTAGAAAGTACGAATTTGCATCTGCTCTAGATGAGGTGATGAAAAAACGGATCTGAGTTGGATAACAGAAGTCCTACTTTTTAATGGGGTGAAAAAAAAAAAGAAAACTGAGCATTTGGGCAGAGCAAAACTTCGGGAGGAGGAGGAGAATCCCAACTCGAACATCGCATCACCTGTGAGCTCTTCGATTCACTGATTCAGGATTTACCTACTATCGCCAAAACCGTTTTTATTTTCTTGGCAAAAGAAGGTCATTTAAAGTGATTAAAAAGTGTATTAAACGTTTCGAGTTGCTCACTGTTAAGGCAAAGTAGGAGTCTGCCGCACGATAGAATTAATGAGATTCAACAGGAAGGGCAGTGAAGTTAAATCAGAAAGGCTTAACTTACTGCTCTGTCGTGGAGTTGTGAGATTGGTGGCTGGTCTCTTTCGACGACCATCGAGTGAAGTTTTGCTGCCCTCGGAGGCCGCCAGCATCGATGCCGAGGAGGAGGACGAGGAATAGAGACCACCTGCAGGAACAGGAGTCATGGTGTGAGTAGCCGATGTCGAGATGAAGATAGGACGACCTCTACCCTCTCCATTCTCCGATGTGGACGTCATTGGATAAAGCGTCTGAGTGACGGACAGACAGTCCCTAATGTTGGGTGGACGTGAATAAACATTACCATCCATGTGGGCGGTCAAGTTAAGCCTCAAAATCGCCTTCCTTAAAGACGAAAATTTATCATCCAAAATGCTGGTAGACTGTTCATTAATCAAGCCAACTCCCCTCAATTTGTGTGGCTAAAATTAACACTCAAGTACTTGCAATTTGTGTGTTTTGGTTGCAGGGCAAGCATTC